CCTCCTCGCGCGCCATGACTGTGGAACGTGGTGCCGGGGAGGAGGGACGGCCGCCGGGGGCCGCCCGGGGCTGCTCGGCATTGGTGCGGAAACCCGAGCCCGGAGTCGCTGCCTCGCGCTGTCTCCTCCTCCTCTGCGGGGGAAACCGCTGCACCCAAACCGAGAGCAGCTGCGAGCAGGGGGCAGGGCGCGGACTGAAAGGCGAGCCAAGGGTTCAAACCTGGGCGGCGCGGACGGGGCTGGGGGGCGAGAGCAGGACAGCCCCCGGGTCCCGCGGAGGCGTGGCGCCGCTCCGTCCAGGTGCAGGGCAGCCCAGCCCGAGACCCCAGCATGTCCAGGCTTCTTTCCTGGTCCGAGGAAACGTGAACCAGAGGTAGTTCAGCGAAACATCTCTCCGCGCCGGGTTCGAGGCATCTATCTCAGGGAGGGCCCGCGAGACAGAGTATTTTTTGCACGAAGGAAAGTTACAGCATCCATTTCCCAGTGTGGGTAGATCGTTACGCTCCTTTCCCCCAAATCTCGCTCAGGGTAAATAGGCTTTTCCAGCTACAGACCTTCGACACTGTCCCGCACCCCACCCCCACCCGGGCGCTGGGTGTGGACACGGCTGGGGGGAGGCTATATGGGAGCTTAAAGCATGAGGTCATGGGCGGAGGAGGCTGCTGCCAAAAGCGGCCGAGGTTTTTGTGTTTTTTGAGGGGTAACGGTTCTCCATCTTCAGCAGTGGGAAGTCCTGCCGCCTAGCCCTACCGACTCTGGGGACCTGGGCCAGAGATCACCCGAAAGAGGAGGGGGATCTGGGCAGTGTAGCTCACTGAGCGTTTGGCCGGTGTCCAGCTCTATATGGAGCTCTTCTACATACGCAGAGAAAGCCCAGGGACAGCGCACAGTGTCGTGGGGACTGGGAAAGGCTTCAGATGCTGGCCCTTCCCCTCCTCAGCCCTCAGTCATCTTCCAACCGGACTTCTTTCTGCGGGAGCCTCCTGCCCCCCTCTGACCCGTTCTTCCCAAGCGACTGGAGGGGTCTTTCTAAAACTCCTAATTACACTCCTTAAAAGCCTTCAAACCCCTCCTCATTGCTCTTAGAATAAAGCCAAGTTCTGATGTCGCCTCTACAGACCTCTCCACCCGCCCTGCTCTTCCTAGTATATTGTAAGGCCCCATCGAGCTTTCTTTGTTCAAGGGAGGGAGGTTGTGGGGGAAGCTAGCCCTTCCCTTTCCACTTCTTACTAACTCCTGTTACACCTTAAGGATTCACTCAGCTGTCACCACCTCCAGGAAGCCTTCCTGAGGGCACACCCTTATCTCTAACTCCCTCTGGGGGGAAAGTTCCATCCCAGACCTCCTGGCAGCAGGACCATGGCTGGAGCTGGCCACAGTAGCGGCCTTTTTCCAAGGAGGAACAGCCAAGCTAAGCTTGACCGCCATCACTGCCCAGGGGCCTGACCTAAGCGGGAGTTGGCCAAGACATCCTCAAAACACCCTAAGGAGACCTGGGAAAATTGCGCGCCGCCCAGAAACAACACTTCCTCCTCCCACCTCCAGCATACACCCTCCCTTTTAATCTAAAGCTCCACCCCAGGGCAGATAAGGAACCAGAAGCGGAGAAAGTAAGTTAATCGCCCCAGGTCAATAGGGAAATTCACACCCTGGTCTTTCCAGCGCTTTAACCAGAAGCTACTGAGAAGGAAGGATTTGGGATTTGGGCCGAAGATATTGCTACTACAAAGCCAAGGATGCTTTCGACATTTTCAGAGGACTCTTACATGCTTGTCGCTGCTCTGTCCATTGCCAACAGAGAGTATTGCCAAATGGTCAGCGGTGCAGGCTCTGACCTTGGGCAAGTTACTTAACCCCCTTGGTTCAGTTTCTTTGCCTGTAGAATGGGAAGAACAGTACCCACAGTGTAGTGTATAGTGAAGTTTAAATGAGTTAATATTTGTAAAGACCTTAGAACAGTGACTTCCAGGAAAGTTATTATTTGTGAATAGGGTTATGTGCCCCGCCCCTTCCCAAGGACTCTAGAAAGTCAGATCCCCAGAGTCTCAATTGATTTAAACATCAAAAATCATCTGTGCCAGCCGGGCTCGGTGGCTCAGCCTGTAATCCCTCACTTTGGGAGGTTAAGGTGAGTGGATTGCCTGAGCCCGCGGGTTCGACACCCGCCCAGGCAACTTGGTGAGACCTCATCTCTACAAAAAATCAAAAATTAGCCAGGTGTGGTAGCGCGCGCCTGTAGTTCCAGCTACTTGGAAGGC